TATCGATATGCCTGTAAAGACTGTCAGCGATGCTCGCGATGCACTCGTTGTTGACCTTCAAGCCAGCAAATTGGTTATGATTTTTCCTTGGTTGCTTTACACCGTGCGGTTCATTATCTAGAACAGAGAGGCACGACTTTTCACCTGGTCGCTTTTCCGCGACTACTCCGCACGTAACGCGACGATACGAAATATTAAAAAAAAAAAATCATAATAAGTCTCGGCTCGACGGTCGCAAATCTGCGGGTCAACTGGGAGCACGTGACTCGCGCGACGATCTGCATACACATGCATTACAACGAGCCATTTCCGCATCCGTTCTGGCGTGTATGTGCACGAATCAACCAGTGTACTGTGCGCTACTGTCACATATTTTTATGTACATGTATGCGTGTGTGCGAGTGAGATAATGCAACAAACAACAACGAGGCCACAAAGGCAATGTCTCGTCTGATCTCTGTCTTTCTCGGTGTCTGTGTTAGTAGTGGTCAGGAGGCTCGGAGCTGTCGTCGTGCGGTCCGCAATAACACGCGCGCAGCTGAGCAACCCTGCGATGCTCTCTAGCGCGACTCCATATAGCACTGCAGCGCGTACATAGGGCCGAACCGATCGATACGACACTTTCTCGAAGCGGCAGTCGTGCCGGCTGCTAGTATAGGTCAGGTGTATGCGTCTATACAATATGTATATACATCTCTCGGCTCTAGTCTCTACGTACGCGGTTGCACATTGCAAGTAATATATAGGTATAGTGGAAGCGGTGCAAAAAGACCGTGTGGGCGACGACCGGCAGGTACTACTACGCGCAAGCGCAAAAATCTATCCTATCTCTCTCTCTCTCTCTATCTCTCGCAACGTCGTCGGCTGGCTGTGCTACCTACTCTTCGCTTGCGTCTGCTCTAGTCGGATGTAGCTGCAAGCGCGTATAATACGCGAGCGCGAGTCGAGCTTTTTGCAGAGTTGCGAGAGAAACCCACGTTTATGTCGCTCTTACGCCAGTATAATCGTTCACTCATTCTATCTACGCGTGATTACGAGCTTGCGAGAGTTTGATTTCTCGCGGACTTTTGCAAAAGTCGAAAACTTCCCCTCGTTCGAGCGAGTATTACGAATATCGTGCGCGGGTGTGCTCGGTTGTGTGGGTGCTACGATGAATATATATACAACCGCCAGCACGAACGAGTGAGAGCGTAGGAAAATGTTTCTCATCGTTTACACAAACTGTGGCATGGTTTGCAAGTGCAGGTAAATACATCGCCTATCTCACGCCATGGTCCACGTTTACGTTTTCCTCGACATAAACGAGTAAATTTTTCAATATTTCATCGCATATGGAATTGACCGACTTTACAATAACGCAAATTCATTGCGTATCTCGGGACGTGCTTTGAATTTTAATTTTTGTCTTATATTGTTTTCACGATTACGATCATCGTTGATTCTGAAGCACAAAATGTCAGAAATTACGATAAAAAACAAACAATTAACGAATTGTAGTTAATAAATGAATGAAATAATTTAAAGTAGCGAAACATAAAATATTTTATTGAAATGAATGCGAACATAGATGAACAAATTATAACACTAAAAATTTAGCTTGGAAAATTAATTATTTTCAGTATTTGGGTTTATACATATTGAGTAATAAAAGACATTTCAAATACATAAGTTTTAATGAAATTTCTGAGCACTTGACTGGACATTGTACATTTTACGTACAAAATGGCAATATCCCCTGTAATAAAAAATATATAGTTAGCAAAATTTATTTGTACTTGAAGAACTTAGTAATTTTTAGATTGCACGTATTCTGTAATAGAAATAAGGCAAATATAAAAGAAATTCATTTCGTGTCTCACTCTCGGATATTGTATAGACGGTACAGATATAGTTATAAAAGTCTCTCGAGAATAGTAATAGAATTTTATTTCAAACTAATCGAGATCTCATCCCCGATGACATACACTTCGCGTAGAAAAATCGTTCAATGTAATTGTTCATTGATCACGTACGTGAACGAAGGTAAAACGTCATTTGAGAACGATACTAATTCTAAACTTTATTCGCGAGATAAAATTATACACATTGATTTTTCGTGTATACATCACACTTGGCTGCGAATCTCGTTTTATTATAGCACAAAGTATACGTTACAATTTTCTTGTCGTTCATGCGGTCTCGCTCAGATTCACGACGTATATATACAATACAATCTTACTGAGTTAAAAACCTACCGCACATATGCATGGGACTTTTGTTTTCATCCTTGAACTTTCGTGCTTCATCATCATCATCATCATCATCGTTATATCTTGTCCACACAATGTTTTCTCACAACATCGCAACACTTTGTAAATATATTAGCGCGAGCGTACAGCAATTTGCCTATTGTTGTCGTGGCTTGCCCTTCTCTTTTTGCCCGTTTCTTTTCTCCATCGATATTTTTGATTTATTGCCATACGTTCTCCAGATCACCGAGTACATATGTATTAATATTTTTCGAAGCGTAGTTTTTCTTTTTAAAAACCCACATTGTTTCCAACTACATGATCAAAAATTGACAACCGAAGCCTTTCAACGGATTCTGTCTGCTCTGATGGCCTTGACTGGTAGACAACGACGACGGCAGCATATACACGTTCGATTAAAATCTGTCTTTTCCTCTCTTATTAAGTAGCAGCGAATCTCGCGCGATGATATTCAATATGCTACACGTCCCCAAAGCTCCAGAGACGGAACTTTTCAATGACACTTTGTCGCGATACGCGCGCATGCATAAGTTGTACGAATCGCACAAGAGTACGGCGCGATTTAAGAAAAAAGAGAGAGAGAGAGAAAAAAAATCTTTCGTGAAGGCTAACTCCGGTAAAGAAAACCGATCGTGCGAATTGCATATCGAATGATCGAGCGCGTTGGGGCTAACTTACACGCGTATACAAAGGCTCTCAGGCCAGGCCATGTATCGACCACTTTCCAAACACATCCACGCTGCACACGATATAATAATAATACTTTATTCGTTTTATATCTTACATATAGTCTTTATTCAACTTCTATAGGTATAGCTGGCTTCGAGGTAATAGGATTATACGCGCATATTGATATTATAGAACGATTTTACGTAACCCGTGGCGCGCAAGGCATGCATATTAACTTCCTTGTACGGATAGACGCACGCGCGCCGTGTACTATACGCATATACGGCTTAATGTACGGGGATTGAACAATGCGCGCCTACCCGCATATAACACGCGGGATTATATGTCAAATATCGAAGCCGCGATATTTGCTCGGCTTTCGACGACCCAGATATGTAAATTAATTGTTATAATACAGTCGATCGATGGAAATAGAAATAAAGCGAGAGACAAAAAAAAACTACATCTCACGCGGCGCGTAAAATAATCGTACGTCGATACAGGACAACACAGCTGCTGCGGGATGACGTCGTTAAGTCGCACTCGAACACATTTTATCCCATTTTCTCGCGCTCGTTCGTTCCCCCATCAAATGCAGCCGCGTTAGTAAACACACACACACACACACACACACACACATAAACAGGGAGGGAGTATACCGCGTGGGTGTACATCTGCCATAGGGAGTGAAAAAAGACCATCGTCGTCGCCGCCACTCATTTCGCTTCATTCACTCTTGCGTGCGTCCGAGATAACGACACTGCTGACGTCATTGCAAGCTCTCTCATCCGCTTGTCTTGGACAAGTATAAAAGTTGCTCGCGCGCACGTCCATTGCACGCGGGGTGTGTAACGCGCATTCGGGTAGGCACACGGACGCGCAGAGACCCATACAAATGCACCATGGCACGTTATAGCGATTCTGGAAGAGCGTTACGTCTCGTTTCTTGAAAATCTCCAGCCTTTCACTTGCTTTATAAGCAATAAGTATATTCTATGCTCTGCTGTAGTACGACCATCAGATACACACACACAGACACACACTTACGTAGGTACACGAGATTATGGATGTTTCTTTCTTCTGACAGAAAATGCGCGCGAGCGAGTTACTGCTGCTGCTGCGAGAACGAGAAGAGAAGCGTTACACAAGTCTCGTAATATACACAAACACTGCATATAATCTCCCTGAGCAACTTTTCAAATTACCCCCGCTCCGTGGAGCACATATTCATGCCCGTCCGTATCAATCACGCGTATCCTGCAGTTTTCTTTTCAACTCGAGTTCTCTCTGCCTTGCGCGACGACGATAATGCGCGACGGGGACAGTTTTTCGCTCGCGAATTTCCACATCGTTCCTCGCAATTATGTGTGTACGCCGAGCAATGGATGCGATTAACGTTGTTGCCGCCGTGGACGTGTGCGTCGACGCTCGGCAACGACGCAGCTGTTTTGCCAAGCGATAACACAATGCGATTCATTATGTGAAATTGTTTGAATGGCGCATCGACTTATTTCATTCACGTTGTCGCGCAGCCGTCGCCGTATACCGACGCTAAATAAACACAGTCTATACGGTATGAATTTGTTGCAATGACGAAAGCTAAGACATTTCGTGTTCGCGGTGAGAGCCCATCGCAGCTATTGCACAAGGCCGTTCTTTTTTTGCTTCCTACAGATGCGAGGCTTTCTTTGCAAATTAATAATTTATAACTATTTCCAATTCTATTTTTATTGAATAAGAAAAGGTAATCTTTGCCGTACGATTCGATTTTACTTATTCGATTACTGAAACTCAACGAGCGACGAATCGACAAATGTCTAAAGACTTTAATATATGTAAATATTTTTTAATCGATATAAATATATACAGATTATTGCTCTAGCCGTTCGATGACATTCTGATAACATTCTTCGATGTACGAGTCATTTATTTTTTTCAATACAAAAGAATTAATTGTTGATTGTATACATGCATTATAAAATGATTTAAAAGTCGGTCTATAAATTGACGTATCCATAATTAATATTTGTACGATACGAATGTGAAAATAAATAATTAACCAAAGTTTCGTTTGTTTTACAGTGACACTCTGAGATTTGGCGGACACAAAACGATGGAGTCTGCCTGTCAAGTTAAAGGCTGCCAGAAAATATTGACCAGCTCGACCAACAACAACATCACCAGCACCGCTAACAACAACAACAACAACAACAACTACGGCAAAGTCAAGTCATCGAAGAAGCTGCAGGATGACAGCGGCAAGATCCAGGCCAAGAACAATCTCGGCAACGTCAGCCAGAACAGCAGCGACGACGAGAACAACGACGACGTTATCAACCGCAAAAGCACCAAAAAAAGTAACAAATCGACGTTAAGCAACAGCAACATTACCAATCCAGCTAACAATAATAACAACATTGTAAACAACAAAAACAAAATCAACAAATTAGCAGCAGCAGCAGCGGCGGCGTCGAGCAACGACTCCGTGTCATACAGCAAAATCGTCAGTCCAAACAAGACGACGGATTTGGCTTACAACAAAGTCGTGAGCAATGGCTTGGCTTCGGTGCCGACGACGAACGATCTCAGTTATAATAAAGTCGTCAGCAATGGTCTCGTCAGCAGCACGACGACAACGACGACGACGGCGGCGGCGACCACGATGACACCAGCCGCAACGGCAACGTCACAGGTGACGGCGAGCAACGGTAACAGCAGCAGCAGCAGCAGCATACCTTACAACAAAATCGTGAGCATCGGCAGGTCGGCTGCCGGCAGCGATCATCTCGCTTACAACAAAGTCGTCCTTAACGGCCTGTCGGCGACCACGACGACGAACGAGTTGACGTACAACAAGGTCGTGAGCAATGGTCTGGCGGCCACGACGACGCCCGTCACCGCAACGCACTGTGATTCGCCCTACCGCAAGGTCGTCGGTGGTGGTGCTTCTCCTCGCTGCAACGAACTCGACAGCAGCAGCGACACCAACGACGCCCTAATCAATACCGGTCTCAATAATCTTAGTCTTAGCAACGATTGCAACAACGTCAGGCCGAACGTCGAAGCGTCGGCCGTAGTGGATAACGCGCAACAGCAGCAACAAGCACAGTCGACGAATACGACGGAGGTGGCTGCATCGACGAGCCCGGTCCAGCAGAGGCACGCCGTTCTGAACTACGAGCAGGTCTGCAGGCTGAACGACGTGATAAACGAGGTGGTGAGCATCCACGGCCGCGGCAACTTCCCGACGATCGAGGTCAAGCTGCGCGATCTCGTGACCGTGGTGATGACCAAGCTGGAGGCCGACCCGTCGGTCGGCGGAGCCGGCATGAAGGTGCGCGACGTCCGGCTGAACGGTGGCGCCGCGTCGCACGTGTTCGCCACAGACGCGCAGCCCTACAACGACCTCGATCTCATCTTCGGCGTCGAGCTGAACTCGAGCCGCAACTACGACCGTATCAAGGCGGCGGTGCTCGGCTCGCTCTTCGATCTGCTGCCCGAGGGCGTCAGTCGCAAGCGCATCACCACCTGCAGCCTCAAGGAGGCCTACGTCAGCAAGATGGTCAAGGTCAACAACAACGACGGCGATCGCTGGTCCCTCATCTCGCTCGGCAACTCGCGCGGCCATCGCAACGTCGAGCTCAAGTTCGTCGACTCGATGAGGCGGCAGTTCGAGTTCTCCGTCGACTCCTTCCAGATAGTCCTGGACACGCTGCTCTTCTCGAAGCTCCAGATAAGCGAGGGCATCTGCCCGACGGTCGTCGGCGAGTCCGTCTACGGCGACTTCAACGAGGCCCTCTACCATCTGCAGAACAAGCTCATCTCGACGAGGCACCCCGAGGAGATCCGAGGCGGCGGCTTGCTCAAGTACTGCAACCTGCTGGTCAAAATGTACAAACCCGCCCAGCCGGACTACATAAAGACGCTCGAGCGCTACATGTGCTCGCGCTTCTTCATCGACTTTCCGGACATCAGCCAGCAGCGAGCCAAGCTCGAGAACTACCTGTGGAATCACTTCGTCGGGCCCGAGGAGGAGGCCCTCAAGTACCAGTACCTCATGCTGCTGCACAGCGTCGTCGAGGAGTCCACGGTCTGTCTGATGGGCCACGAGCGTCGCCAGACTCTGGCGCTGATCGAGAACCTGGCCTACCAGGTGCTCTGCCAGGAGCAGCAGCAGCAGATGTCGACGCACCCGGCGCCCGCGCCCGCCTACGTGTACGCGGCGGCCAACGGCTACTATTACGCGCCCATCATACCCGCAGCCGCGTGCTACACCTGCACCTGCAACTCGTCCTGGATGGCGGCTTGCTCCTCGTGATGCGAAATCTATTACGACGATCAGCAGGACCGGCACGACACCGATCAGTCTGACTTGGACGAGAACGGACTTTATAGGCAGGGCGAAGGATAAAGACCCCCACCCCCTCGCTGACTTTTTCACCACCGCTTCTTGGTGACCTAGACGAGATCCTTGTCGATCTTTGCTATATACATAACTGATAACTCTCAGATGTGCCGTCGTTACTATATTATATACGTATATAATATAATATGGTTTATTATAATACATACATTATGAATATAAAAGATGCGTCAATGTGTAAGTATATATAAGTGTGTAGCTCTGTGCAAGAGAGACTGTTGTAGATACTTCTTTTTTGATATCAAACGAACCGTTAGAGAATACACTAGATAATCATGTAAACTTACTGCAATTATCTCTGGGATTAGTATACAAAAGTAATAGATACTGATTATAATTATGTATGTCAAGTGTGGTGTAATGAGAAGGAAAAAAGTAACAAAAATGAAGCAAACGCTGCCAATCTCGAAGGAACAATAACGAAGATAATACTGTTTTAAGCGAAAGTACTCCTTTCTCTCTCTAATGCCACTATTATTCTGCGCCCTATGCTGTTCGTTTTTCTATTCATTCGGGCGAAATCTATCAAAAATCCTGTACTTTATCTTATCGTAATTGTACATCGAACGTCATTTTAGCATATCTCGTCGAACGCCTCTCTGCATAATAGATTATACAAGCTTCACGATAACGACAAGGAGGTCAAAGTGAATGAGCTACAAAATTCACGAAGATCGCCTGGTCTTCGATCTCTTTTGTTACAACAATTATAATACTTTTTAATCAACTCTAAGACTGGAGCTCCATTGAGGACGCAAATTCAAGTGATTGTAAATTCTACTGATACTACATAAATAAAAACCAAAAATTATAAGGAAATATCGTCGCGCTCGAGAATCGGAATTGCGTGTCAGATACTCAGTATAATATAGAAGATTATATTGTAGCTGCAATGTCCTAAACGTGCTTTTTCGTCATGACTTGTATGTGATGCTGTGTGAGTAAAGTTCTTGTCAAGTATTCGCCGAGTTTGCGCTGCTGTCGACGACATCGACGATGATAATAATAATTAGGTCCGCTGCTGCTATTGTAGGTCATTAATTTTTACGTGCACAAGCTGGAGAAAGAGAGAGAGAGAGAGAGAGAGAGAGAAAGAGTGATTTGTTCTCATTGTTGCTGCGCGGTAATGACAACGATAATGACAATTTCCATACTGCTAGAATTGTTACTGATAGCTGGGATCATTATCAATATCCTTATTGCGTTCATTCAAATTTACTTTGAGTAGAAGCTTATCAAAAATAGGTGTCGGACATTCAATACTGTACTTAAAAATATTATAATCAGTATGTGGAATTCGAAAAAAAATTTTATTACAGAAGAAAAGTTAAATATCTGCATCTAAACTTTACGTTGCAAGTGTGATAAAAAAGAATTACGCCAAAAATGCGAAAAAATTATTCTAATAGTAAGTGTGTAGCAAAAAACATGCTCGCTTATATAAATTGTATGCGTTACGAGCTTTAAAACCCGTCGATAAGAAAATTGATTGTAAGTACATGTGCGCACGTTAGAAATAATACGGGCGAACTTGGAACAAAAAAATACGAGAAATTCGAAATCATTACCGCACATAAATTGCGCAAAAATGAAATCAAACAAGAGAGATAGGGGACAGAAGTAGAAATTAACGACAAAGGAAAGTGTACATTAACTACTACTGTGTTTCAAACGAAAACTGTATTATAACATGTGAAATTTTTTTGTGCATCAAAAGTGATAGTAAAAAACACGCAAAAAGAATGAAAAAAATAAACTGATCCTGTTTATTTTGTGTGATTTAATTATGCAATCATCAGATCATAATAATACATGCGAGTGCATAGATATTGGATATTGTTTAAAAATAGAATATATTACTGGTAAATTTTCAGAAATACTTTAATTGATCGGCGAATAATGATTGTTTTTCGCGAATAATATCTACTATTAATGCAATTGAGAATGTTAATTAATTCGACGTTGTAATTAATTAGTAAGGAGTGGCTGTGAATATTTAAAAAAATTTTCAATTTTATTTTTCTCTTATACAAAATTCTAAGATATAGGGTCTTTGGAAAGCAAATTTTTTGGTTCGAAATTGTCAAAAAGTCTATGAATAAATAATAGTGAGAAAACGACTTAAAGGCAAGGAACATTCAATTATTTTTGATAAAATTGTTTGATCAAAAGGCAGTTCACTTTTCAATTGCATCTTTTGGTAAAATTATGTGGCACAAAATTTCAAAAAAAAATTATCTAAAATCATTTCCTGCTCAACGTAAATTATCTTGTTAGTAAAACAGAAAATGAAATGTACAACGTACTTGCGGCAGCATAAGCGTACGGTGCACTGAACTCCGAGAGGACCGCAAGCAACTCGTAATAATGTCAAGTGTACATATACGTTTATTATATATTTAAAGTGAGAACCATCTCGCTCGACGAACGCCAGTAAAGAAAATCTCCCGCTGCTATAATCCATTTGAAAATTGCTCGTAAATTTGATTTTCTAAGAAACTTATGCGAATCGAGCATTGGCGAATTTTCCGCGAGAATCGATGTATAAAGAGCTGGAGCTGGAGTTTGACCTCGTTCATTGCATATACGTGTGGCGGCGGTGCTTGCAGCCCTCTCGCGCGATAACGTCGCGGTATATATATAAGCCACGCGTGTGCTTGAACGCAACAAAGTCCGAGATCGCACACGCGCGCGCGCGTATAATCGAGACGAGCCTATTATAACACACAGGTTTTGCAAAACTGGTTTTTCAGGTACACGACGCTCGTGTCTATATAATCTCTGTTTATATTTACTTCGAGTAATATTTCCTTTTTGTTTCGGTATTTCTTTTTCTTTTCATTCTGATACGATCAGACGCGGATTTGAGTGCACAACGTCCTGTAATATGAGGCTGTTGCTTTTCGTGACTTCAACATGTTACGTCTATATGTACTCGAGTTGAGCTGCCTTATGGTTAACCAATGAAATTTGAAAACTTGTCAAGTTCATCTTGAAACTAAAAAAGAAATGATATGACCAAAATTAATCGATTAACAATTTAATGCTCAAAAAACGACGGTGATTTTAATTAATTCGTCTGGGAGATTATAGACCAGACTAACAATGACATTTAATGAAGCCGTTGCAAGACTTTACTTAAATCTGTTGATGGCATTGATAATATCCTTTTTTTATTTGTAATCTTCCAACATTTGATTACGTTACCAAGCAACATTTATTTCATAAGCCAGCAAGGCTCGTTGCTTATAAAACACGTTTTCACGGATTTAAATGTTATGAAAAGAAAAAGATAATTCTTTCCAAAGAAGTACAATAAAAAGGGTTGATTTAAAAAATTTTAAAAATTACTTTTAATTGCACGGCAGTCGTTTTGCAATGGCTTCGTTTGAAAAATGACGATAAAAGTATTCAATGAAGAATAAGTAGACAAAAAATGTCGATAGTCATTCGTAAGCTTTATTCTACTCCTCTGCTTTTCAGTCGTACTCTCTTTCTTCATTGTATTTTTCTAATGATGTAGCTTCGACAAGATCAGAAGCTGCATTATAATTGAAATTGACAAACCAAAAAAAAATTAAGAGAGAGAAAATTAAACATTTATTCCGCAAATGGTGTATAAGAAATTTTTTACAAGAAATAAGATCGACGATGAATGATTATACAGGAGTTGTGTTGAAAATATCGCGAATGATAACTCACAAATAAGAACACCTTTAACGATATACAGAGAGAGGATTGTTCAAAAGAAAAATGTAACATTTGCATACATAAGAAAAGGTTTTATAATATTATACATATTTATCATTTAATTACTTGTATACAATTTTTGAATGAAAATTATACTTAGCGAACAATATTAGGGTCTTTACTGTTACATCATATTGATACAAAAATTATGTACTCTAATAATTGTTATTCACGTAAAAAATGAAATAAACTGAAAGAAAGGCAAAATTATAACATTTATGATCTTATTAATTATATGGATAATCGCTTAAACAATCATTTTTCATAATAATACAAACAGAACAATTTCCACGATATTTTATAGTGAAGCCGGAAAACGTGTAAGCTAGTTTTTCTATCATCTTTCTAGTTAGTTTTTAATTGTATCTTACCTAAAAAACAAAAAGACCTTAAAAATTATTCGATACAAATTCAGTTAACGATAAAGAGTAAACATAGTCTTATATTACGCGAGAGAAAAACTTCAGACTAGCCTGAATATTACAAGAAACAAAATTGAGTAATCAATGTTGTAAATATTATTTTAACAATAATTTCGCCTGCTGTACATTTAGTACATACACGGAGTTTTTTTGTGAAATAAAAATCATTATAATATGTTTTTTAAGTTAAAAATATCACCCGCCATTTGCAGATAGAAATTTTCTTATTTAAATAAAAGTATATAGTTATAATATCTTTTATGTATACTCAAGACACATGTTTAAGGCTCATGTTTTTTGCGTTTGCAAACTACTTATGTACTAAAAATGTGACGTTGCTATCGCAGACGAGTACGTAATGAGAACGAAAGTATGAAAAATAAAACTCACTCGATTATACTAGTCGCTAATTTGTGCGATAACTTGAATTTTAGTCGATTTATGAACCTGTTTAAAATTAAAAATCACTCTTATATTATGCATATGAATGCTATGTCTTGATAATGTACACATTTTGTGTTAATTATAGAGTAACGAGTTAAATAAATGTTGCAATGAATGAAAAGTTTGATTGACAAATTAATTTTGTTCGAGAAACTGTCGTTTTAATTAAAATTATACACCAATAGTGAACATAAATATTTGCACTCATACTTTTTTAGACGTTGTGGAAAAAAAGTAAATGAAATGAAAGAATCGTATGAACTAAAAATGGATAATGAATTTTATGAAAAACATTCTCTTACATTATACAAAATGAATGTTATTTCAACTTCTTCTTACAAGTTGAAGTTTATCGAATCAATGGAATTTATCTTAACTTGTTGTGATATATATAAATGTGTTTGATTTATCATGCGCACATGAGACGTTACACTTTCTTATACATATCCACGGCCTACTGTGAAAAATTTAATATTTCTTTACGTTGGTTTTATATGAATACTTTTGTTAGTACTCATTCCAATATTGTCGAATCCTGCTTACGTTTACAAACGAAAATAAGTGGATCTATCGCCAAATGATGATTCGTATCGGTCACTGATTTTCTGTCATTCAGAATGCCTAAAAAAATGATGAACATTCATCGGCTGTTCTTAAAATCCTTCAAAGTATTATGGCTTGCTGAAAAAATGTCATTAATTTTTTTTTACAAATTTAACTTTTTTTATATGATAATAAAAGGACGAATTTCAATGCTATTTGCTAGTAAACGCCAAAACTTATAACGTGTATTACGGCATACTGTTGCGAAAAACGTCGAAGATGCGCGCTCGACTGCAGTTCGAGCTGTGCTAACCCTGAAGTTTTTTCGTGGTGCGGTACAGCCAGCATACATCCAATTCTAAATAATGATGGGAATCAAAGCGTTGGAATTTTCTCGATGCTTTTATTGATCGGAAAATTTTACTGAACAAATGATTAGAAGATCAGACTAAAACACAGTTCCATGCGACTTTCTCGTTTATCTTACGTTTTAAGTTTTCTACAATATCATTATAAACACTTCGGCATTTAATAAATTATCTCGCGGCTATTTTTATTCTTCACACTTGCACACACTCACACGTCTATATAGCTTTTGCAGTGACTGCAATTGTACGATGATGGAAGAATGAAGTGACGGGTGAGAAACAAGAATCAAACAATCCAACGTATTGTCGAATTTAACTGTAAATGTATGTGTAATAATAATGTGAAAGAATATAAATGAACATACAATGATATATATTATATATGTACGTATAAGAATGAAAATTTTTTTGTCACGCGTCAGTTTTATCTCAGAAACCGCGCGAAAATACGAGAAATTTTCTAATGTGAAAAATTGGTGATATGCGTAATAATAAGAAAGATACATTTGTAATTATGCGATACGTCGTAAAACATGGCGTTATTTGCCTCTAATTAACTCACGCCATGTTAAGCAGAGTGCAAAAACTCATGGGAAATTAGTCAAAGTATATCAAATGAATTTACAAAAAAAAAAAAAAAAACAATAACCGTTGACGAATGAAAGGTATATATTATTGCTTTTAATGTATGATAAAACGCACGCGCGTAAAAAAAATTGAATATCATATACATAAACAAGTTTGTTATCGTGTATGGAAGAAAAAAAACAAAAAATCATCGATACAATCATGTAGATTTTTATCAATTTCCCGCCTTATAAATTTAAATATGACTAAAATATGGATACAAACGGCGTTTTTCGATAATGCAAGGTTCAATTTATAGTAAATTTCGAGCCACGTAACCGAAGTGTTATGAATTATTACGATTTTCATAATTATTATATTATTATTACTATTATTATCATTATTATTTTTATTATTATAATTATTATTATTTTTATTATAAATGCAATTATGCTTGTACAATGAAAAAACTTATTAGTCCATTTAATTTGTAACTCTACGTATTTTTAATATTTTATTATTAATGTTCTCAAGATGATGTACAATTTTTATTTAATAATTTTAAAGTATACAAATAAATTATGGCAAATCATGCATAATGGAAGGAAAATGAAGAGCAGTAGGTGAACGATTATGTGTGAAAGTGGGCTCCTCACGAATCTGGGACATTTTTTTACTTCCTTTCACTTGCCCATTATTATATATTTATAATATTATCAACATAAAAAAATGTTAAAGATTATTGAAAAAGTGAAATAAACTATCCTATTACCAACCCAAATCTGATTTGTTCATTTTAAATTTCAATGTCAACACGTCCGAATCACCTGACTATTTTCTTTAAAACGGAGCCTACGGTATTGAATTGCGCGCAGAGGCTCTTGAAACGGGCTCCGAGCACGTGTATACGTTACCTTTTGCAGTTGAAAATGCTCCAAGTGTGTGTTGCACAAGCAATGGTACGGTGAGATTTTCTATTATGTTTTTTTTTGTGCAGACTTTTCAACGGCATATTGAATTACTCGATGACATAACGTATGGCGGCGTCTCGGGCTAATTTTAAACTGCGCGTCGTCAAGATCACCGTTTTTTTTTAAATAAATTCAAAAGATAATGTTAATCGGGTCGATCAATCGATGAGCTATACACACGCGCGCAATATACCTGACCTTCGAGGCATAGGAAAGATTAACCACGAAAAACGGGAAGTCGCATCAGTCATTTAATATCAATACGGATCTAAATGAAAAGCAGCCGATCGCAAGGTTGCAATATGCGCCGGAACAAGACTTATCGAGGTGATATATTGTATTGCGAAGATATTTTTTAAGCTCAATTGGCAATTTTTGGATCGCGTTCCGACCGAGTAATTTCATAATTCTGCCTCGTGTCAGCAGTTGCGCAATATTTGATCGTATAATTTTCGGAAAGTCGATCGATCTAATACGAGTTTGGGAAAAGCTTGGGCCGTTGTCGAGTTCGTCGTTCTAGCGAGCTTTTATATACTTAATTTACAGCAAAGCCAAGATTTATGGGAAAGTAATCGTAGAAAAATGCGCCATCGAGTTTTCAACGAAGCGAAGAAAGAGGGAGAGAAAAAAAGGGACGAGGGGACAGCCGAGGCGATTTAACAGGAAAGTTCCGGGTATGGTCGCCCTTGACGAGTTGATCGGTGTACACATGTATATACAGCGCAGTCAGCCAGAAATGAAGGATGCAAGGACACGCGCGGAAAATATTAATACGAAGCGAGTAATAAGGGAGAGAGCGTCAAGAGCTACTTGGACTGCGGCGACTGAGAGAAGCAGAGAAGGGTGATCGCCGGACCTTGGACAAACAACTGTTGTTCATTCCAACCATGTCCTGTTAGCCGTAGCAAAGCCTTCAAAGTCCGCCACGAATTATATAAAAATCTTAATTGTCGTAAAAATATTGGATGTAGATCGAGTTTATTCGAGCCGTAAGAATATATCGATCGTTTCGTATGTATGTGCACACATTCCTGCAATCGGTTCGTGCATCTTATTATTTCGAAACGAAGCTCTCAGCGTCTTTGGGTGCAACGGTAGCAGCAGCAGCAGCAGCACTTGGATGGATTCGGTAACGAATATATATACCTAGCAATTTATTTCTTGTAACATAAATACGTAAATTAAAATTCTCACTGCATTTTCTCAGCTGCGCAGCCGATATTTTCTCATTCTTATGTATATATAGGCGCAGAAAGACCGAACGGCGGCGCGTGGAAATGCAGCTTCAAAAACGCCACAGCTAGAATTTCCTCGTTGTGCGCGTGCATATACCTGCGTGTGTTTGCGTTGTCGAGTTTTCACGAGACTCGGGCGCTATTAATTCGTTATACGGCTTAAAAACTTTCTCTTAGAGCGAGTATGGCTGTCGTCGTCGCGTCATCAATCGACGACCTCAATCATATAGTAAGACGGTATACAGCAGGCGCGTACACAGGCGGCGCATCGGGCGAAAAGAGAAAAATCGACTGCTATTATCTCGGCTCGAGCCTCGGCGACATAAATCAAATAACTTCACGTGCCACGCGCGTATATACACAGATACGTATATAGGCACGCGGGCTCGCTTGTATGCAAATTAAAAATTGATAGCATCTGCGCGTAGTAGCGTATATAGTAGTAAATGGGAACCGCCGCGCGCGGCAGGCAATCGACTGCGCGATGAAAAGTAGCCAAAACAAATCTTGCGTATTAGGTGCATGCGGCAATACTCGCGAGCTTGAGCAATCGGGGAGCCTGCAATCGAGGCGAAAAGCTCGCGTCTGATCGATTCATCGCTCCTCGACGTCGAAACAATGCCCAGGATAGCCGAGTATTAAATGAGATCTATATGATCTGCACCGAGACGGTATCTGTATGTGCGTGCGACGCTTATAGAGCTATATATGTGGCATTATTACTCGAGTATATACGCCAGTGCGGCGCGGAGGAGTCTCAGCTGCTTCGGATCTGTGTTTGTATGTTGCAATAAATAAACGCAGAGCTCGCGTATATGCGCGCTATGGGCACACGTGTGTACTCGAGCTAGCACGGAGGTCTGTACGCGGCGTTTGTAGCGCGTCGCGGTGAAAGCGAAAAACCTTCTTGCATTCGTATGTGCTATATGCAGGCACGCGCTATCCTATCCCATATATACCTGCGTACTTGCGTTTTTCAATGCTCGCGCTAAGGCTAAAATCTCGTCTAATATTTGAGAGGACGAAGCAGCCGAACGGTCTTAATTGTTGACGTTCTTGGCTATTCTTTGAGACGATTGCGATAGCTCCAGCTCATCGTAGTGGGGCTCGCGATTACGCAATCTTGGCTAAAAGATTGGACGATCCGACCAATTAGGATAATCAATCATAAGCGTGCAAGATGCGCGTCGATGATGCAACGAGACCGTGTCGCAGATAAATATCAATCAAATGGAGAAGCGGCAGCAACAAAGCAACCGATCCGTACACGACGACTACAACTAGTAGCGCGCGCGGGCAGGTTCGAAAGTCTAATTCGATATGGTACACAAATCGACCTAAAGCCTAGATCCAAATTTTGCATCGCGAAAGGAGTTATTATACGAGGCTCCAGCTGCTGCTAAATAAAAGTATCGCAACGCTCGTGTCGTGCGTGAGGTGCAGCGGGTATACATTATAAAATGCAGGTGAATTCGTGGTAGCAACTAATACCTATGTATAAATATTTTTACACAACAAGGACCGCTGCGCACACTCGTATGTACGCGTGCAAAAGGAATTGCGAAAGCGAAATTCCTAATTTAGTGTATTAAGTGCGTTGTGTGCGTCGTGTATAAGTGTAGCGCACTCATCGGCCGTAATATGCTCGTTCGTGCAATTACCCACGAATGAGACATTTCATAGGAAATTTTACGAGATGCGTATGCCTCGATAGTCTTCCAGCCCTTTGAAAGGACTTTTAATCGAAGCTGGGGAAAGGAGACAAAACTTATTGGCATAATACGACAGAGTGGTCTAATGACGACAATTGGTCGATATTACGAGTTGCAACAAAAGTCAATGTGCCTAGCTAACATTCGTATGCAGGCAGAATGGAGCAGTCGAATTGAATCGGCGCTCCTCGCCCGATATTCGGAGCCGCGCGAAAAGTCGCTCGACGATCGGCATCCGATACAAAGGCCAGCAGCAAGGCTCGCGATCGCGTTTTGTACATAGATAGACATAATCATCGGCGGGCACACACAAGTATAAGTGCGCGTCTCGAGGTATTCAGGGCGCTCGAAGTCGTCGACTGCTTGTATAGCAATTGTATAGCGCAGGCGGCGCGAAGGCCGGCCGCGAACGCGAGTAAAAGTGCATGCACAGCAGCAGCAGAGTCAGCGAGTCTGTGCAGCGAACGCGATCGCACACGATCGTGACGATCCCCCCCGGCTCCGCGGAAAGAAAAAGAAGCGCAACTGCAGCCGTATGTACGCGAGTACGTAGTCTTGTATACTATATAGCACGTAATGTAGGTTGTGGCGCGCGATCGGCATCGTGACGTAGGTGCACCTACGGAATAGCTGCGCATAGCATAGCTGCATAGACGAGCGCGCACTGGTATATAGCACAGTGCCGACGTCAAATTATATGCTCCTCGATATGTATACATGCACGCATTATAAATTCGCGTCGAGCCGAGCTGCACACGCACTTATATAGCTCACAGAGTCAATGCGAACGAGCTCTCGGCGCCGTTTTCGAGAGAAACGATGATGAATTTCGCCGGACGGGAAAGTGCGCGCCCGATGTAACGCGCACAGTCGTCCGTGACGCAGGTAAGCTGCTAAACGCATTTGAAAAGTTAGTCGTTGGCTTGCCGCCGCCGAGTAGGTCGAGCCGCGATAAGCGTGAGATCCGACGAAACGAGGATCTGCCGCGCTAATGCTTTCTACCCGTGTATATAAACATGCGTTCGCGAAACGTCTCGGGCTTTTTCTCAGATGCCAATACGCGAAATCCACTCGATTCGACACTCTTTGTCGATGTATCAATTGGAGTTCGGACTCGTTTATTTTCCTTGAGAAATGACATTCGACTCGATAATTTCGATACTTGGCTCCGAGATCGCTGGAAGAAAAAATCGGCCAACTGGCTTTGACTACTCGAGGCTCGCGAATCGAGTAAGTTGGAACGTATAATATCTTTGTGTGCGAGCTAACGAGCCCTTCTTTTATACGCTCGTCGGCTGCAGCTCGCGGCCTCTCAGGGTCATCCTCTCGAGTATAGGACTGGAGTAGTAAGTAGCTCGCGGCAGGAAGAGACACTACCTCGGCAAGGTCGTGCAGCTTTCGCCACTCCATCCCTCTCCCTTTTCTCACGCACACGCACTGACAAGCGGAATACGCAGACAGCATAGGAGCCCGTATCAGCGCTTGATTTATCCACATCCGAGACGGACGCGCGCACCTACCATTATTAATAATAAACTCTCGATGCTTCGCGTTGTTCGATAATATCGCGCGCGCTAGCGCCAGTAATTACGGACTTTTGGCCTTTTCGACGTATATGCGTCAGTCCATCGGTATATATCCGACGCCTACTTGGACGTTCGAAGCGGTTTGCGCAGAAGCGCGAATTATGTGCAAATGAACCTGATATTATTGTCCTTATTGTCTCTATATTTATTCAAAGCTAAGCGGCTAGAAACGCGGTGTCGTAATCCCGAGCCTCAGCTGCACCACAATACTATCGTACGTATTATCTTCCCTTACTGAGTAGTTCTATATACCGAACTGAATGGCTGTGCAGCTTTCACGCGCATATACATTATACAGCCATTCTCATTAATTATAATTAAATGTCTACATAATATGAACACTTGTGACACGCAGTTGGCATGAATTTGACGCTAGGCAAAGACTTACGAATCTATTATATTCTGTAAATTACGATAAAATCTCTATTCTCTCTCTCGCTTTCCATTGTCTCTCGATCGATCAGCCAATACCCGGCTCACGCATACTTATTGCAGTTTGCAATGAACTTGCACGTTGAGCCAGAGCTGCAAGTTTCAGAAAACTTTTCTTTTACAAAGAAACATAGGTCGGCCTTTACCCTTGCACTTTATTTCAATACTTGTGTAGTGCATGTTTAATATAAATTGGAAATTTCTCTATAACGAATGGCTGGATTTTTTTTTAATTGAAAAATGACAGTAGTCACCTATGGCATTGGATCAGAAATAATTGCTAAACTTCTTTAATCGGGTCTTTTGAAAAAAAAATTATTCGTAAGATAAAAGTGTTTATTTTCCGAGAGTTTTAAAGATACTTTGAAAATTCCAAGGTGGCAAGCTTTTCTGCGTACCGCATTAGAAATAAGAAAAAAGCCGCGTGACAAAGCTCAAAAATGAGATTCAAATCAAGCAGGATATGGTCGAGTGCACGAGGCGCAGCACCTATATACCGGTGGCTGGAAACTGCACACAGCTGTAAGTTCGCCCGTAGGGGCATGCGCAAAACGGAAAATCGAAGCTCGCTCTCCGACGCGCTGCACAGGGCGTAGTTCTCGTACGACTAATATATAGATACCAAACACGAGCTCGGCCAGTCGTGTGCGTCGTTAGCCACCCTTTTATGTGATGACGCAGGGCCGCGTCGAATTTGAATTTTAATGAAAAATACCCCAGGACGCGACTAGCTCCATAGGAGCAAGCGAGGGATCTGCGCATCGAAAAGAAAGTAATTAAAAGCCGAATGACTCGTTCGAAACTTGCATCGTTAGTTTTCCCGAGCTTTGGCGAATAACATCGTGCTCGCCGAATGGTTATTGAAAAAAAAAGGTGAATTATTGCTCGGACGGGTTTTAAAAACGAGCACGATTTAAATTTTAAAATAAACGCTCAAAGTTTGCCTCGTGGTGGAGTCGCGCAGATTTCCGCGAAAGAACGTGCTTCGTCGAGCTACTCGAAATCAACTCCCGTGCGCAAATTTCTAGTATATTGTTCTCTCTTTATCGCTCGTAAAAAAAAAGTAATAATATGCGAGCAAAGTCGGTATAGCTGCTATAATTGTACACATACGAATATGCGCGACTATCTATATCTTGTAAAATGTATCGTTACAATTATTTTATAGGTATATAGACGTCCGCTGCGTGCGTATAAGCTACTGTCAAACGGACATGCGCCGAAAGCACAGAGTAGTCCACTAGAAAAGGTGTCTAGTGACTACTACAGTCCCGGAGAGCAGCGGCGTATCGCACCTACTAGTCACGGACACGATGCGGGTAATGAGAGCTTTAAGCACTACTTGGTACTGGGCTGTCTCGGTGTAGGCTGCAGCGATCGAGCGATTCCCGCGCCGCCGACGTCATAGCGCTGCTGCTTCTCAATACGTACGTTATTAATATAGCTATAGCTATCGAGCACGCGCGCATCTGCCAAGGTCCCGAATGGAGCAGAAGAGGCAGAAAACGAAGAGCAGCACAGCGACGACTAGTGCAGCTGCTGCTGCTAGCGGCTTATCGATATGCTCGTGCAGCACGAGCTACTACATGTCATAAGCACACGACGCAGCACTGCGGCCTATTATAATACGACGACGACGATATGCGCCAGCAGAGAAAAGTAGCCGAGATATAGCAGACGCCAGGCAGTAGTTGGCCCAATACAGACGTTACACCTGGTCGCTCGAGTCGCGCTATGAGCCCGATGACCAACACGATGTCTACGTGCCAATTAGTCGTTCTCGTTGGTGCGGACCTTTGGTACTCGTTGGCACGTTGGAGAAACGCTATGAGGTAACGATCTAACGTCTTACACTCTGCCCCACTGTTACGTGTCACTCTCGCTCTCGCACCTCGCGGGCCTCCCCTCGCACTCGTTACTTATAAACCACCAACCTAACCTTTTATTTTGTCCCTGCACAGCCCGACCAAGAGAGATCTCGAGTGAGTACAACACTACCCGCAGTTCGCGTATTTTTCTTTAGCCTTTACATACGTAAGACTCGAACCACGGAACGGAGCTTAGGCCAAGTGTTGGTGCGGCTGGAATCAGCCTTGCCGCGTATCAACTGTCAGCCGTTGTTTTTCTCTCGGCTCATACGCCTAAGCGCGCGGCGGGGGGGAGGACGTCTGCGAGCGACGTGCGCGTCAATAACAATATCGCCATAACTGCAGCTACTGCTCGCGTTGACCCTTCGTTCTTTGACAGTAGCTGCACGTGTGTTGATTGTTTTCTCATTTTTGACATCCGTGTATCGCAGTAGACAATTTTGTCATTTTGGTCGAGGAATCTCTAGTTCGAATGCACTGCATCGTGTCGAGCTCCTTCCGAGTGACGCAATCAACAACACCCACGTTACAATTGATATTACAGAAAATCGGTGTCCGATTCCGACTGCACACGTGCTTCGTGAATAATCGAGGCCTCAGATCTAGATGACGATCTTCGAAACTCGACGATCGATCGCCCGCTTCACTTATGACGTAATTTTCGCTCTATCTGTCCGTCGTGTTTTTTGTCTCCTTTCCACGAGTGCCTCGCGAGCGCACCTGCCTGCAACGTGCGTGCTTCACATGCGTAATAGGTCCGCTATATACATATCTCTGTCGCGCTCTTGTCACTATATAACGCGTTACTACCAGACTAATAACTAATTGTATATTAGCTATGATTTTCAACGTTATTAACAATATTATTATTTTTCATACTCCATCCATTGTTTGTTTCTATGTGTAACATATCTCCAAAAAGAGACCGTAAGAAGCGATGCTCGATATACGAGTCACCTTATTATTATAATATCCGATTAAAATTAACGATTACCTGTCACGTTGATGTAAATATTTTATAATTTGCCGAGGCGTACATAACGCGCGCAGTTGCACTCGTATTCCTGTCTTCCAACTCAATCGTTCGAGCAAACTTGCTATAAAAAATAAGTAACGTCCAAAGTGACACTCGATTTATTTTTTAGATCGTTTTCCTAATGATCGACAGGTACCGAGTCTTTGCTAGGCCTTGAGCTTCGACCCGCACACGCACCCTTGATATCGAGCTTGGATATATAGCGAAAAAGTAATAGAGAGAGATATAGAGAAAGAGGAGGGGACGACAGTCGTCGCCGCCGTCATCGCACCGGTCTGCGCAACGACCAATAAACAGCGATAACAATCCACGCAAGGGACATGAAAATAAGCAAGTTGACCCTATTGGCGCTCATGTTCGCGATGATGCTGTCGATTTTCGTGGCGAACCTCGCCAATATCATCGACTACTCGCAGGCCCTCGAGCCCGTGGCGGGCCTCGAGCGTCGCTACGAGGATCGACCCCGCGAGTACGACATCGGCGGCTCCTACGATCGCCTCATGTGGTTCGTTCAGGTGAGTGTTAACGAAAACGCCCGTCATCTTCGATGAAGCAAGCGCTGCACGAGCGAGCCTCCAGGAGAGGCGCGCCTTTGCGCATTGATCACAATTTCACCTTAACTTGACACGATTCAGATAACGGACATCCACATCAGCATTTTTCGGGATCCGCTGAGGATTACCGAACTCAAGGAGTTCTGTGATGTAACCGTCGGTGCGATAAAGCCCCAAGTCGTACTTGCATCAGGTAAACTTTCCAACACACATAATATAATATTCATTTAGGTCTGCGATAGACTGGCGATTCGTATGCAAATATCAAGTGCGGGCGCGCTCGTACATTGCTCGAATCGATTCGAGCAACAATAACGCGCAATATTTGATCGAGCACGATCCCGATGAGGCCGATACCAAAGTCGACCGCCTCTGGCACGTGTGTGTATTATTATAAACATTGGCGTGGATAAGAAAAAAAGCATGAATCGCGTTCGGCCAGCTTTGGCGTTATAAATAGAAACGGATCGCGTCCGAGTATGTGTAGTGGCATCGATAACGAGCTAACGATCGTTTCGTTTTATGTACTTTTGTTTTTTGTTCATAAACGACGCAGGTGATCTAACCGACGCCAAAACCCTCGACAAAATGGGCTCGAGGCAGTTCGTCGAGGAATGGGTGCACTACAAGAAGGTCCTCGACGACTCCAGGGTCACCGAAAAAACGACCTGGCTCGACGTAAGAGGCAACCACGGTGAGTACACAGGCGCCCCGCATTGCTACCGATATAAAAAGCGTCCGCGCGCACTGGCCATAATCCGATCACGTATCTAGTGCGCTCGACGCCACTGGCTAATTTCCCGAAGCGCATACTGGAACGCGAACGGCTCTCATGGCTCTGTGTCGTATAATAAGAACGATAAAACACGCCGAATGATCGCGAGTATAAAAATAAACTCGATCTGGCGAGCAATTTTTTGCATTTATCGAATGTTGCCCGCAGATAACTTCAACGTCTACGACGAGAAGTCAAAGGAGAACTACTTCGCCAACTACTCGATTCAAGGAGGCAAGCATCCACGCTCGTACATGCATCAGGTGCGCCGTGGCTCGGAGCTTTACTCCTTCGTCGCGATGGACGCCTGCCTCAAGCCAGGACCCAAGAGGCCTTTCAATTTCGTCGGGGCGCTGGACGAGCAGGAGCTCGCGACGCTCCGAGGCCTCATGAACGAGTCGCGCAAGAGCCAAGCGGATCACGTCGTCTGGTTCGGACACTATCCGACCTCCTGCATCGTCGCTCCGTACAAGGGTGGCGCGCGAGCTTTCATTGGTTTGTATCTTATGTCCTTTGTACGGGCACTTTTATGACGAGAGTCGTAAACGAGCCGTAGAAAAAAAAGAACGTGAGCCTCTTCCACGAGACGCGGCGATCAAACCAGTTTTTCGATGGGATAAAATTCAAGGCTCGAACGAGAAACCAGTTTTCGACTCGAAAACTACTCGTCGTTGCAATATCGAGAGGATGAATGCCAACTCTAAAAGCATTTTTGCAAAATATTCAAATTGATCGAGCGTTTGTAAAAGGATCACGGCTAACGCGCCTTTAAAGTCGCACCCGAAAGCCGCGAATCTATTGCGTAACAACGGGGCCGAGATATCAACTAATGAACCTCGAGACCGATCGTGACAAAAAAATAATGGCAATCTTTTAAATTTCAGGCAGTTACGAGGAGAACATAGCTTACTTGTGCGGCCATTTCCACACGCTTGGCGGCTCGGTGCCCAACATGTACAGCCTGCAGAAAGCTGGCTTTCTCGAGCTGGAACTCGCCGATTGGAAAGATAATAGGATGTAAGACACTTGCGCTGTTACATGATTCCATCGGATAACCCATTTAGCACCATCGGACTCAATTTCATACTTGAGCATGACGCGCCTAGCGTAATGAGTTTTGCTTTTTTTCATGTACTTTGATGAAATGCAATTTCATTTTAATTTAAATTCTTTTATTACTTATTCTGTGCTAACCGAGCGGGTTTGATAACAAAAATACAGCGTTTTAAAGGACATCTGTGATAATTTGCTCTATGCTGTTACAATATTTACTGAAAATATATATGAAATGACAATTTTTTTTCATTTTCTAAATTACTTCGGGCAATGAATTCTTAATTCAATTATTAACCGTGAAACAATGGGAAGGTCAATTCCGCATCTATAAAAAGATTGAGCATAGAATAAATTTGATAACTGAATTTTTTATGGAACAGGTACCGACTGGGAGTCATCGATCACGGCCAATTTTCGTTCGTCGATATCGATCATCGCGACTGGCCAGTCGCACTAGTCACCAATCCAAAGAACGCTCAATTTGTGATGCCCCGTAAGGAAAAATTGCAATCAATTATTGACTCAACTCACATAAGGTAAATTAAATGCCAATATAGGCGGTTGACAGAGCTCGATATCGATATATAATTTTCAATTAAACAAAAAATTACTTGATTCGCAGAGTGCTGGCTTTCTCGATCGCAGATATCAAATCTGTGCGGGTTAAAATAAATAATGGCGACTGGATCGAATGCGATCACGTAGAAGGTCCTCTATATGTGACAAATTGGAATACCTCGGATTATAAGACTGGCATTCATGACATTCACGTAATGAGAACAACTACTACTAGTTTTTTTTTATCCTACCTCATACTGACTTACCTTTATTTTCTGACTCACCTTGCTTCGATATTTTGGCTAAATACATCAATTACTTTTTCAGTTGAAAGTTGTAGATGATGAAGGTAGAGAAAAAACGATAACGCAGCCATTTTCCTTAGATGGAAGTCGATTGGCATTTCGTATTTTACCTAGAATTTTACTTATGTATGACATCGGTTGTATAGTAAGTATTCGATCTATTTGTTTCAAACATCAAATGCAATTTTTGAAAATTCGTCAAATATCATAAAAATGTGTTTATTTCAGTTTCAAATGTTTTTCTTGATACTTTTTGTAATGGTGATATTACCTTTATGTATTTTACGTATATGTCATCATACTTTACAGTGTAAGTAATTTATTTTCTCATTGACAGTAAAATGAATTTAAGGAACTATAATCATTACATATTATTGCTTGTACAGCTGTCTGTGGTATGAAAGGACGACCAAAGTCACGTGTAAAATTATTTAACTGGTGGCTTAGAAGCCATTGGATTTTAGCAACTGTTGATCGTTTGTTTTTCCCCTTAGTTTTGTATGCTGTTTATTTACTGTTTGGTAAGTTTTTTATATTCAATAATCTTCTATAGAAATTCTCATTGCTTATACATTTTCTATTGAAGGGCCTTGGATAATAGGAGAAATAATCGACAATCACACTGGAGTAGTGTTTGCGTGGGGAACATATGTTGGAAAAGCCTTTTTGCCCGGATCGTTTACATACGCCTATGGGTTCTTTCAACTACTTTCTTTTCATTTACCATTGACTATTATGGTAGCGCATCGTGTAAATAAAAGGTTGGTACTTGAAAATGACTTTTAGTGATACTTTACTTGTTTGTTAATACATGAAAACATTTTTTAATACGGTTTTTAATTTTTAACAGGCTACAAAGTATAGAGAATCCTGAAACAAAGTCAACAAAATTTTACTGTAAACTGTGGGAACATGTGCCATTTATTTTTTTAATTCTTCTGCAATTAAGCATGATATACTTTTTCTGGCTTGCTTATGGAACCATAGCAGCCATCCTGTGCCCCTTGCGAACTTGGAGTATGTTACTTGCTTTTTATCTGTGGTATCAAGTTTATAAAATGCCTAGAGAATGCCTAAGGTAATATTTTCAAATACTTTAAGTGAAGTTCATGAATATTTAGAACTTATTTGTTTTTCCAGGTCTGCTGCTAAAGTTTGGTGCAAACATGGATGTTTCGAAGAAAAAAGTCGACGCATCAGCCGAAACGATTGAAAGTACACTAACAAATGAAAGCAATACTGTACAAAAACTTTGATATTTTTTAAGTTATTTTATCTATCCAAAGTTATACAAACTCAAAGTATCAATGATTTCGCAATCATGTAAATTAAGATAAGCAAACTGTCTTCTTAAACTGTTGTAAACTCTGACTATTTAGTAGAAAAAATGTTTTATCGTTTAATTTTCAAGTTTTACAAAAGTGTTACAAATGATACAATTTGTAAAAAAAACTTGAGATTATTCAATATATTATAAAACAATTAGTTTTAATGAATCAATGGACTTTAATGTGTGCTATAAAAACATTTTTTTGAAGCATTTTAATGAGACTAAAGATGTATTTTAATAATCATAAAACTACTTAAAATCATTCAACTTTCATGAGATTTAATCTTACAACTTCATTGTAATAGTTATAGATGTTCGTTGGAGCATTTTCCTCTCACCAAAAATGATATTTTTTTAACAGAATGTATTATACAAAATGTTTAGTAAATAAATGTATATTGTGAATTAATAATGTTTTTGAGTCTTACTTTACTAAATTTTAATTAATTCATATTAAATAATGAATATTCATATGCATTTAAATTATAGCGGGACTCAAGCTTTACGAAACACAAAATAATACTAAAAAAAATGTATTCTTTTACACTCCCGCGTAAACATAGGAAATTTTGCGGCAATAAACTACCTCAGGTTGGTATCATTGTGCTGTCGGCTTGGTCAGCAGCCTGAAATGTTACAGCGCAGCAGAATTGTCTGAATGGCGGCGTTTCTTTTAACGCGCGATGAAATTTTTGGCATAAAAACAAAATAAAGCCAGTGTTTTCAGTGTATAGTACTAAAGTTTTTCGAAATTATTTGTGACGTTTGTTTAAAAAAATGCTCATTTGACTTGATAAACATCAATCATGTACATCAAACAGGTGATTTTATTTCGTTCATAGTGCTATCTGTTGCTCAGAAATAGCACCGATTTATCATAGTGCATTGTTTTTGTTGCTCCAAACAAGTAGTTAATGTTTATGTTTTGATTATGAAACTGTTGAATATTTTGAAATAAACTTCTATATATACCTAAATGATATAATTTAAGTAATTTATACGAAGTAAACAACGGGAGTTCTAAATAATAGAAATAAAATAACGGATACTTAACAAAAATTTTACGTTTTTACTTAGTTTCACTTGGATTGAAAACACATTATACCCATAGAAAAACAAACGAAACTCTTCGATGACAGTAGTTTATCGATTTAATTATTTGCAACTGCAAAACCGGTTCATTTTTCTGAAAAATATTCTGCATCATAACATAACCTACATGAATGTTTACAATTGTCAACTTGTTATCATAACATTAAAAATAAAAATTTATTTAAAGTTGAATTAAATAAATTGTAAAAAATGCGTTTTTTTTAAGGTGATTATTCAAGGATTTAAATCCTACAGGGAACAAACAGTTGTCGAGCCATTCGATCCTAGACATAATGTTGTTGGTAGGTCTACTTTCTAAAAGTATTCTTTACTTTGTCAAAGTTTATGTTAAAACATTCAGTATATTAAAATGTAAATTTGTAGTTGGCAGAAATGGTTCTGGAAAAAGTAATTTTTTCTATGCAATTCAATTCGTGCTCAGCGATGAATTTTCTCATTTGCGACCAGAGCAACGTCAAGGTTTGCTTCATGAAGGTACAGGACCCAGGGTAATATCAGCTCATGTAGAAATTATATTTGACAATGCTGATGGCAGATTACCTGTAAGTATCCTTGCATGTTTTAATTAATACTAAATTGTTTTATTAAATATTATCATTTCATTAATCAGATTGATAAAGATGAAGTCTACCTTAGAAGAGTTATTGGATCTAAAAAAGATCAGTATTTCCTTAACAAAAAGATTGTGACGAGGAGTGACGTTATGAATCTTCTTGAATCAGCTGGGTTTTCAAGATCTAATCCTTATTATATTGTCAAACAGGGAAAGGTAATTTCTTGCATTTAAATATATTTTTATGAATTATTATACCATTATTTTGAAATAAATTAATTTTCTATCAATCTGAAATATTTTTTTTAGATTAATCAAATGGCTACAGCACCTGACTCTCAAAGATTAAAATTACTGCGAGAGGTTGCTGGCACAAGAGTTTACGATGAAAGAAGAGAAGAATCAAAAGCTATTTTGAAAGAAACTGAAGGCAAAATTGAAAAAATTCAAGATTTCTTGCGCACAATAGGTAGACTAATATGAAAAAATGTCATTAATATCTATTTTTAACGTTATTCTAACATTATATTTTAATTGTTTTTTTTGTTAATAGAGGAAAGATTAGAAACTTTGAGAGAAGAAAAAGAAGAACTCAAAGAGTACCAAAAATGGGATAAACAAAGAAGAAGCTTAGAGTATATAATTCATGAACGTGAACTGAAAGAAAACAAGCGTAAATTAGAAGAATTGGAAAAATCTCGAGAAAGAAGTGGACAAGAACAAGCTAGTTTGACTGCAGAAGTAAAAAATGCCCAAGAAAAAGTAAAAGCGGCTACTAAAAAACATAAAGAAGCTAAGAAAGAAGCTCAAACTGCTAAAGAAGAGCGTGATACTTTGAGGTACTATTTTAGTTATTATTAAACTATTCTTTTTACAAAAATGAAATATAATTAAATGACTTTTATTTATGTTTCAGTGCTGAGCAACAGCAACTTTTGAAAGAGAAAACCAAACTCACATTTACAATAAATGATTTAATGGAAGAAGTTAGAGGCGATAACGACAGTCGTAAAAGAGCAGAAGAAGAATTGAATAAATTAAAAAGTCAAATTGCTGCTAAAGAAAGTGAATTAGAAAGTATAAAACCTCAGGTAAGCTTATTGTTGTATTATTGCAATTTGTACTAAAAAAGCAAACATCTTTTGAATGCTTCTGAATTTTTGATTGAATAGTACGAAGAAATGAAACGTAGAGAAGAAGAAATTACAAGAGAACTGGCATTAAAGGAGCAAAAAAGGAAAGAACTATATGCAAAACAAGGAAGAGGAAGTCAGTTTACTTCAAAAGTAAGTTGAACAATTTTCCTAATTTTTTTATTAAATTTTTTCTTATCTAATATTTATCTATCTTTAATATCTCCCCAGGCCGAAAGAGATAACTGGATTCAGCAAGAGTTGAAACAATTGAATAAACAAATAAAAGATAAAGAAGACCATGAAAAGAAAATTTCAGAAGATTTAAAAAAAGATGAAGAAAAACGAGTAACGCTAGATAAAAAAATTCAGGAATATACTCGAGAAATGGAAAGACAAAAAACGTCTATTGATGAGCATAATAAACAATATTATGACTTGAATAAACTAAAAGACCAATGTCAAGCCACTCGCAAAGAACAGTAAGTTTAACAGATAATTAAAATTATTATCTTAATATTCGCGTACATAGTTTTTAAAAGTACGGATTTTTTTTCTAAGGTATCGCCAGGAGAGTATTTTGCAATTGAATTTATCTGGATTGAAAGAAGATTTGGCAAAAGCTGATCAAAGTTTGAGATCTATGGCTGGAAAACCAATTCTCAATGGTAGAGACAGTGTTCGTAAAGTACTTGATACTTTTAGAGAACGTCCAGATATGTCCAAAGAAGTGGGTAGTTATTATGGACCTGTGATTGAAAACTTTGACTGTGACAAAAGTGTGTACATGGCTGTTGAGGTAACAGCTGGTAACAGGCTCTTCCATCACATTGTTGAAACCGATAAATTTGGTACTAAAATTTTAAAAGAGATGAATAATCAATGTTTGCCTGGAGAAGTTACATTTATGCCTCTCAATCGATTACATGTAAGACCAATTGACTATCCAAAAACTCCAGATGCGATCCCCATGATTTCAAAACTTAATTATGATCAGAAATATGACAAAGCTCTCAGGTACTACTCAGATACTACTTTAACTAAATTATTTATAAATAAAATTCACAATTGTCACAAATTTATAACGAATAATATTTATATTGCAGATACATCTTTGGAAAGACTCTGATCTGTCGTAATCTAGAAGCTGCAACGAGTTTGGCTAGAACATCCGGACTTGATTGCGTGACTTTGGAAGGTGATCAGGTGTCATCAAAAGGTTCCTTGACTGGTGGTTATTTCAACACTTTGAGATCACGTTTAGAAATACAAAAAAACAGATCAGAACTTATGTCTCAAATTAGTAAGATGGAAAGTGATTTGGCCACTTTGAAAGAGGAAATTAGGAATGCTGATCGTAATATCAGTTCTTATGTGAGTGAAATGCAAAGGACAGAAACTAAAAATAGTAAAGCTAGGTAAGTGGTTTTTTAAATTTTTTAGATTTAACAAATAAAACTTGTAATCTCTATAATTTAATTTATTTATTTATTTATAGAGATATATATGACAAAATGAAAGGTGAAATTCGTATAATGAAAGAAGAACTGAGTGCAATCGAAAGATACAGAGTACCAAAAGAAAAGAGCTTGCAGCAATGCAAATCTAATTTAGAAGCTATGACTGCTACAAAAGAAGGTTTGGAGAGTGAGTTACATCAAGACTTAATGGAACAACTATCAGTTGCAGATCAACATCAAGTAAGTGTGAATTTTACAATTATTGTATAATTAATGAAGGTAAACATTCAATTTCTTATCATTTTATTAGGTTGACAGCCTTAATGATGCTATTAGGCGTCTAACGAAAGAAAATAAAGAAGCTTTTGTTAAAAGAATGAAGCTTGAAGCTGAAAAAAATAAACTTGAAAATCTTCTGACCAACAACTTGGTCAGAAGAAAAGATGAGCTCGTTCAAGCTTTGCAAGAAATTTCAGTGGAAGATCGTCAAAGATTGCTTGAAACTTCCAAATCTCAATTGGCTGAAATTGAAAAAAGATTGTTAAAAAACCAAGCTGAATTCAAAACGCAAAACGAAAAAGTAGCGGCTGCAGCTAAAAAGGTAGATATCAATGAAAATTATCGCACAAGAAAGAATTTGATTTGATAAAAATGACTCAATCTTGTCCCTATTGTGTTCTGATTTATTAGCAAAAAGCAGAAGCTGCTGAAGTTGAACAGTGGAAAGGAAAAGAAAAAGAGGCACAAGAAAAAATGGATTCAGACGCTAAAGACTTTGAAAAATTAGCCAGTAAAATGAACATGTTGCAACAAAATATCACAGAATGCACCCAAAAGATAACAGAGCTTGGCGCCCTTCCGAACAAAGAATCATACGCTAAATTCAGTAGCATGACGACAAAACAACTATTTAAAAAAATGGAAGAGGCAAATGGTCATCTAAAAAAATACAGGTACAGCAATTAATAATTTGAAATTTTACATGATACTACATGATATTTCTATTTTTATAGTCACGTAAATAAAAAAGCTTTGGATCAGTTTATGTCATTCAGTGAACAAAAAGAAAAGCTGATGAAAAGAAAAGAAGAGCTAGACAGAGCTGATGAAAAGATTAAAGAACTCATGTCAGTTTTGGAGCTGAGAAAATGTGAAGCCATTCAATTTACTTTTAAACAAGTATGAAATTTATCCAATATTAGTGGATATTTATAAGTTGTATGCATTACTAATAGAGAATGTGACTTTTTTTTAGGTGAGTAAATATTTTTCTGAAGTTTTCAAAAAACTTGTACCATCTGGGCATGCACAACTTGTGATGAAGACAGCTGATGGTGAAGACGATGGTAGTACTATACTTCCTGAACAAGCTGATTCTGATCGTTTCATAGGAGTTGGTAAGAACGCACTTGATTTTTTCATTAAAAAATTAATGAATTGAAATAATTGAACTCTTAAATACAGGTATCCGAGTCTCATTTACCGGTCAAAAAGGTGAAATGCGAGAGATGAATCAATTGTCAGGAGGTCAGAAATCTCTGGTAGCCCTGGCAAACATCTTTGCAATTCAAAAATGTGATCCTGCTCCCTTTTATCTATTTGATGAAATTGATCAAGCGCTAGATGCTCAACACAGAAAGGCTGTAGCTGATATGATTCATGAACTTAGTTCTGACGCCCAGTTCATCACTACCACTTTCAGGTAAATAATTTTCAAGGAGAAAATTATTTTTCTCCAAGAAACTTTATGTTAAATAAACCAATTTTTTTTCAGACCTGAATTGCTGCAACACGCAAATAAATTCTACGGAGTCAAATTCCGAAATAAGGTTTCTCACGTTGAGTGCGTAACAAGAGAAGAAGCCGCCGATTTCGTAGAAGATGACCAAACTCACGCTTGAATAAAAAATTATTTAAACCTGGACGTTCTCTATCATCTACCTAAGTGCGTCCAAATTTTTTATGTTTTTAATTTAAGAAAGGACAAAAAATACTATTTTAAAAAAATATAAATTAAAATTGTAAAGGTTAGATAACTAAAAATTATCATAGTTTAGTTAAAACAAGTAGCATATCGGATTTTTAGTTTTAAGTTATTCATACTGTAAGCTTGACGAATTTATATAAAATCCGACTTTTTTGTTGTTCTTAAAATTTCAAAAAAATTCAAACTCAGTGCAGAAATCAATTGTGTATAAATGCTGCGATTTTTTGTTCATGAAAAAGTTTCTTTAGAAGGAACCAGGTCTCACATTAAAAATCAATTTTGTCAAACGTTTGATTATCATGTTTTTGTTTTCTAATAGTACTGTCCTATTTTTATACATAGATATTATGTCTTCTCAAAGTTTTGAATCACAATTTTGTACATTCATATTCAGTGTAAGTTGATACAATTAAAAATCTTAATATGATACAAAACACAAGTATATTGTTCTTTTCACTAATTGAATTCCTCATTTTTAATTATTTTTCAAAACCAGTTCACAGTCGCGTTGATTTAAGTAAACTTGGTATTGAAATTACAATTATAACTAATTTCCTAATGACGAGGGACATTTTTTCTGAAAAATTTTTGAAGGTGGCTCGTTCTTTGCAAGGTTCTATTACGCAGCATAGATGTGGTCAAACTACGCATAATGCAACGTGCTTCGTAAAGCACGTGTAGAACATGGAACAGCTGTCACATTCCAATTACTAGTTAAGAATTTATAAAAATCTACAAAAGTACAATGAGATAAAAGCTGTAGCACTTGAAATTTTGAATTCCAAGGACAGTATCTTGCATTGAATTGAAATCAAAATATAACTTTCTACGCCATCTCTTTTAAGCATCGAAAACCCTGTATCGATACTCATAAGTAATATCGCTGGAAAACTTACAACCTTTACTACCAAAAAATGTTTATTTTGATCTGTCCTAACATCTTTAGCGATTTTAATAAAGAAAAAAATTTGACCTGACAAAAGAGATGGTGTGAAATTTTGATTTCTTTTTTTTTTTTATTCCGTCGGAAACCCCATATTTTTTAAAATTAAATTAAGGGAGTATCAATGAATCATTCATAGTATACGTTTTATTTGCATGCTTGGGTTTATCGAATGTTGACCTTCATCATGAGAATCGGTACAACAAATTTTGGTAGCTTTAACTCAGCGTCAAAGAAATGACGTCACGATGAACCCGATTAATTTCGTCCGAGATAAATCAAAAATCGTATAAAAACGAGACGCAACATGACGAAGCAGCAGAGCATGAGAGTACGATAATCGAAGAACCTGTCCCGATGGACTCCGCGGAAAAATGCAGCCCTCCGCGCCGCTCGCACTTTCTCGCCGAATGTGTGCCAAAAGCCGAAAAGGTCATTGTCCCGTACGTGCAGAATAATATACGCACGATCGCGCTCGTACGCGCCTCGAAGGATGCTCCTTTCCCAGGTACGCGCTGTTTAGGCATGTGCATTATACATGGAGTCGCGCAAAATAGTCGCGGAGGCAATGTTACACGCGCTGCTGCTCCTATATGCGGTGCACGAAAGGAGCGCATTTATTGATTGCAGCTGCTGGCTGAGCTGTTACTGGGCCGCCGCTCGGGCATGGTCTGCTGCTGCTCCCAACGTGCAACGACGTCACAGGCGACCGTCGGATCACGCCACATCCCCCACCTGTACCTTCGCGTCATCCCATTGGTTCTGCGAATCTCGTGGATGTGTATCTCGCGTGTACCCGTGCATATACTCACACACATATAATACACGGCTGGCAAAGCTCGTAACCCTTTTCGCCGATGCGAATGTTGTACGTTGCTCTTGCCGCCTGCAAACCGTCGTCTGTCTGTATTTGTACACATTCTCAAGAAAGAAAATCGCGTGCGTTGGATCGCGGCTCTGTGACGGCTGTATAATAGCAATAGGTATCAAACACAAGATCGTGGCTGCTGCGTCTTGGACGTTTCGATAAACGACCAACGAATTCATTTGGAATCTTACCTAACTATTGTAATCTCGAGCAAAGCCGACTCTGTGTCATTTGTTTACGAACTTATCGCGGGTATAGTTTGAAAAAGATCAGGATGACCAGCCACTTCTCGACAACTGCAACGGCAAGTTTATATCGCAAGTATATTTTATAACATTAGCTCTCGTCTCGACGCAGAAAAAAAATATATTCTCCTGTGTTTTTCCTCGTTGAGCTGATAATTAACAGTATATGTGAGTGAGTTCATATTGTGAGTGACTGGCTGAAGCTCGGCGAGCGCAATTATCATTAAAAGAATTGGCTGCGGAGTAATTTGACGGAAAAAAAAATTCATAAAACCCGTGGACGGTTGGGGGATACAATAACCCACGGACCGACGCTCTCGATAAGATCGCGCAATTTTTCGTCTTCAAATTTCAAAGTTAGTGCGATGTTGCGTCAGGCAGAGCGAGCGCGCGCGGCTTCTTTATTTATATTTTTTTTTTTTCAATCTTCGATCTTTGTCGTGAAAACTCAGTCGTCGCTTATCTGTCTAGTCCGAGCAGACGCGCACTCACTCGCTATTCTTATGACAGTGTATAAACTTGAAAATGTAGCAATCATCGCTCGGATTGGAATTAATCATCGCGGCGCGGCACAACTTTCCGAAGAGTCATTGTTACTCGGCGATTCGTTTGGGCTTTTGCAAAGGAGAGCGAGAAGAGAAAAGATCGCACATGGACGTCTGTGTATATCTTTCTCTTCGCGCTCGATGAGACGTATGTGAATTTGTTGCTATGCGGCGTGGCAATCCCGAGACGCATTATGCAACGCGCTCGTCTGCGAGCTGCTCCGGGGCTACTCGTGTGCGCGGCGGCTAGCGCGCTCGTCTTTAAAAATCGCGATAAAGCGAGAGCTTTAAAAAAGCGATAATTGTAACAGCGCGATATCCGTCGAAAATTCAATTATTGCTCCGATTTCAGAAAAATGTATTAAATGAAAGTCACCATTTCAATTAACTAAAGTCTAATTGATTATTATCTCCTGCAATTAAGGTGGAACAATAAGCGCGGCAAAGCGTCGACGGAAAAATCTCTCGAAAGATGAAGTTATCGGCGTGACGATCGAATACTCGTGTAAAGATTTCGGAAAAGGTAAGAATGCATATGGGTAAGGCTCAGAATTTTTTAAATAAACCTGCGCTCGTATGTCACCGATCTTGACGCGCTTTTGGTATGTTATAGTACATGGTAAAAAAGACCCAAAACCAAAATTTTAGACCCCCTCCCCCCTCCTACCCCCCACTTCCGGTATAAACGTCCATTTTCTATCTATATTTTTTCTGAAGGCCTGAAGCAATTAAAAAATCTGAAAAAATTCACAAAAATACTTTTCAACAATCCAAACAACCTTGAATTTTTTCAGATTTTTTGAGTGCTTCAGGCCTTCAGAAAAAATTATTGAAAATTTTGAAAATTCATATACGGCGCTACGATGCAATACAAAGCCCGATCTTTTTTTCCACTTATTTTTGACATCAAAATACATAACCTCAAATTTTTTCAGATTTTTTCAGACAGAGCGCTGGCGGTTTTTAGCCGAAAAACGCCCTTTTTTTACGAAAATAATTTTTTTAGGGCGATATGAAGCTTTAAAAAATCTGGAAAAATTTTTTTCTTGTTTTTCAGGTCAAAATACATAACCTTGAATTTTTTCAAATTTTTTAATTGAAGGCGATAGCATCTATGGCTAAAAAACGCTATTTTTATGAAAAACGGTTCCTGGAACCCAGAGGTTCCGGTAAAAAAATTTGAAAAAATTTTTTTCGAATTCCTTGTCAAATTTTAATAAATTTTGACCGTCGCAAAATTTCGATTGGAGCTTCCTAGCTCATTCTAGAGCATAACAAAGATTCGAGCGAAATTCTGAAGACGTTCATCACAATTACATTATTTTTCAAATTTCTTCAGAATTTCGCTCGAATCTTTGTTATGCTCTAGAATGAGCTAGGAAGCTCCAATCGAAATTTTGCGACGGTCAAAATTTATTAAAATTTGACAAGGAATTCGAAAAAAATTTTTTCAAATTTTTTTACCGGAACCTCTGGGTTCCAGGAACCGTTTTTCATAAAAATAGCGTTTTTTAGCCATAGATGCTATCGCCTTCAATTAAAAAATTTGAAAAAATTCAAGGTTATGTATTTTGACCTGAAAAACAAGAAAAAAATTTTTCCAGATTTTTTAAAGCTTCATATCGCCCTAAAAAAATTATTTTCGTAAAAAAAGGGCGTTTTTCGGCTAAAAACCGCCAGCGCTCTGTCTGAAAAAATCTGAAAAAATTTGAGGTTATGTATTTTGATGTCAAAAATAAGTGGAAAAAAAGATCGGGCTTTGTATTGCATCGTAGCGCCGTATATGAATTTTCAAAATTTTCAATAATTTTTTCTGAAGGCCTGAAGCACTCAAAAAATCTGAAAAAATTCAAGGTTGTTTGGATTGTTGAAAAGTATTTTTGTGAATTTTTTCAGATTTTTTAATTGCTTCAGGCCTTCAGAAAAAATATAGATAGAAAATGGACGTTTATACCGGAAGTGGGGGGTAGGAGGGGGGAGGGGGTCTAAAATTTTGGTTTTGGGTCTTTTTTACCATGTACTATAACATACCAAAAGCGCGTCAAGATCGGTGACATACGAGCGCAGGTTTATTTAAAAAATTCTGAGCCTTACCCATATATATATTTGTACTTTTATCAGTCGTGTAAACAATGTGCCACGAGCCAATTATATAAATTATATAAGCCCGTGTCCGCTACAGACCTAATATAACAGAGTCTTTGCCCCAGAAGTGAGCGATGCGCTGCCGCCGCTGCAATTCAAGACTGCGCGCGATATGCTCGATGCTTACATCACTATATCGCGGCGAATTATTCAGACGTCCGCTACAGAGGCACTTGTCATGCAAATCGAGGTCTCTTCACAAATTTGTGATTTATTGCCTTTTTATAAACGCGTGTCGGATGCGCCATTCGTAGCATATAGCAAACGATTTAATAATGTGCCTTTGAAGGCGCGCACATTTTCAGAGCCGATTCGCATGTGCATCATCGCAGACACTCCTAATAGTCTCGTAGTATAAGAAAAGAAAAAAGTCGCGGAGAGAAGCGTGCGCAGATTTATTGTCTTTCGAGGCTGGAGACGAAAAAAGCGTGTCACGTTTGCGTCGAGAAACTCTAGCTGTCTGTATAAGGATGACTATAAATAATAATATGATAATGCACGAAATCGAGCTAGTCGCGCGCGAGCGGCGAGATTGGAGAAAAATTAAATCACTCCTGTAACGAGTAAACTGAGAGTGTCAAAATTACCTGTGACGTATTTTTATCGCTTTCAATTCGAGATTCGCATTGTGGAATTGGGTTACCTTGATCGTTTTTCCTCCACTTTTTCATGTAATCTTCGACGAGCCGTTATGTC